GTTAAAGCAAGCATGAAAGCTTAAGGAAATTTGTAATTGGTGCGTTAAAAAGTTTATATACATCTTACCTTACCAAAAAAAAAAAAAAAGCTTAAGGAAATATAGATGGAGGTTATCAACAAAAGCCCGCAATTATGAAACAACGAGATGATACGCTTTTCGCTGTGCAAGTTTTCTTAGTAAGCAAAGGAAACAAAATAATATGTTTATCACACTTATCTTTCCGGTGTCAGGATCACCATTAATAACGTACTAGATTCTTCTGCAACCAGGTGATTGGCAGAAGGCCGCAAAGGTACAGAGAAGTAATGCAGAAAAATGATTGCATAAGGGCCTCCAGCCACTAATCTTTATTTTCTAGTTAGCTATTTATTGCACACATTAGCACTTTCGATCAACTATAAATTAACTTTTTCAATCTAGGTTACCAAAATTTCACTGTTCTACCCTGCTAGTTTCCCACTTCGAATTTTTCTTCTTCTATTTTTTTTTGGTTGTACCTCTTTAGCACCATCTTCTCGAGATGATAACCTAGCAAAGCACAATTGGGTATTCTGGAAATTTAAAAAGATGACACAAGGTATAGAACTCCCAAGAACCAGATAGACAAAGCAAGAAATGATGAAACAACAATTCCGCGTCAGATTTTGAAGCCCAATAAAGCTGCATGCCACTCGTAGCGCGCAATCCGAAGCAACCCATATTCAATATAAGCAAGCAACAACACACTTTACAGAACAGAGAAGCTGCAACACGAAGACCATCGAGGACATCAATCACAGCTCGAACACAAATATTAACAGGTAGCAGCAAAGAGAATTGCTCCATAAAGGCTACCGTAAGAGGAGAAACCGACGGTCAGAGACCGAGCAAAAAACGAACCCTCCCTTACTCAAGTAAATACAAAAGTCCCCCAAGGGGAAGGAGGCAAGAGGAATGCGTAAAGCAATAGCGAAACACCCACACCGAATTCCCAAATCGGCGATGGTGCGCAGAAAACAACCGCGCGCGAGCTCCAGTTCGCCCTAATCCTAATCCCAATCCCAAAAGGATCATCAAAGGATCGACGCTGGAGAAGATCGGACCCTCTCTCTCGGCGAGAAAGCGCACGTCCCCCAAGCAGAGATCGTCGATAAGACTACTACCATCGCTACCGGATTCGGCGATCGGAATCGACGAAAATTCCGCGACCGAGGAGCTAATCCCCCCCCACCTAACACCCGCGATCGGAGACGGCAAATTCGCAACCCATCGAGCCCGAAAAGGGCACGCACAACACGACCAGAGAACGAGCGCCAATCCCCCGATCTCTCCGGCGAAAACACCCGGAGGAAAGGGGGGGGGACGGGGAGCAGAGAGGGGGGCCAGGAGGGGAGGGAGCTGACCAGCTTGGCGTTGATGTTCTTGTTGCCGGAGGTGGCCATCGGGCGAGTGGGTCGAACGGTCGGAGATCCGAGCGGCGGTCGGTCGGTCGTCGGCGATCGGATCGGGCTCCGGCGAGGGGGGGCGGCGTTGACGGCGGCGGAGGCGGAGGCGGAGGAGGAGGTTTCCAACACGGGAGAAGAAATGGAGAAGGAAGGAGGGAGGAGGGGAACGGTCCAACCAACGAAGCTTTCCGCGTCTTCTTCTTCTTCTTCTTCTTCTTCTTCCCTTGTCTCCTCCGAAAGCGATTGATTTTTTTTTTTCCTTTGAAGCAACAACGCGGCCTTCAATTTCCCCCTTTTTATTTCCAGCCCTTCCTTTCTTTTTTCATCATTTCTTAAATCTCGGCGTACGCGCGGAAATTCCACGTGGCAACGTCGCGGTTGGTACGTCGTCTTCGTCAGTGTCGTTGCAGGTTGCTGTTTATCTTCGTCTTTTAATTTAGGAATAATATCGCGAAAAACTTCAAACTAATACACACGTAATAATTTTACTCCGAATTAATTTTTTTATCACAAAAAACTTTAAATTTGTATATCTGCGATAAATTTACCCCAAACTAATTTTTTGACCACGGAAAACCTCAAACCGGTACACCCGTGACAATTTTACCCCGAACTAATTTTTTGATCACCAGAAACCCCAAACTGATAGACTTGTGACAAATTTACCCCGAACTATTTTTTTTACCACAAAAAATCCAAAACTGATACATTTGTGTCAAATTTACTATCCGTTAAACAAGATTAATATCATGAAAACCACAAATTCGTAAACTTGTGACAAACAGAGGAATAAAACCCTAAACTGGTACACCTGTCAACTACCACATGTCATCAAACTCGGCAATTTGATAGTAAAATTTGACGGAAACTTACAGAGGGTAAATTTGTCACAGGTATAACAGTTTGGGGTTTTTCGTAGTATTAATCATTTAATTTATTCTGTGATGTTCCTAAAGTTTAGCCCAACATGCGATGTCGGTCCCGAATTGTTCGATGTGATTCCGGAACTTTCGATACATGCTCAACTTATTCCTCTGAACTATTTTTTGACTCTATGAAAATATCTAATGTTATCCTTCCGTTAATTCTGGTTCAAGAACAACATTGAACATTTATTATTGAATAAAATTAAAAAGTTTAAGGGTCGACATCGCACATCAGGATAAAGTTCATGGACGATATTGAACGAATTAAAAGTTAAAAGAGAATATTGCACGTTAAGCTAAAATTTAGGGGGTTATTTATGTCCTTTTCCCTTTTCATCCGATTTATTTTTTTAACAAATTTTTTAATCTTGGCGTACACGCAGAAATTCCACTGGTGACATCGCAGCCGGTACGTTGCCTTTAGGGAATAACGTGGTGGATGTGTCCATCTTCTCCTTTCTTTTCTTTTCTTTTCTTTTGTTTTATTCTTTTTTTTTATTTGTTTTTTTTAGGGGGTCATTTTTTAGGGTTTTTTTGTTCGACTTGGTCTTGGCAATTGAATTCCCAGCTGTCCTTCCTTGATTATGTCTTCGGCCATCTTTGATTGTTAAAAAGTATATATATATATATATATATACACGAGACATTTTTTTTAATTACAAGTACACCCATCGTGAAAATAAATAACAAAATAATAATCTAAAGAATATGTTTTTTTTAATGATATAGTACCAAAAAAGTCTAAATATATTGCATTCATGTCGATTCAGTCTTAAGCTTTTTAATTGGGCCAATTTAGTCTTAAACATTTTGTATTTGTGCCAATTGAGTCCATCCGGTCAATTTTAATCGAAAATCGCTAACATAGATACCAGTCATCCTACGAGGCACGATCGGCGCTGAGGTGGATAACTTTTAATAATGTTCTTGAATTTTATTCTTTTTTTTCCTTCATTTTGGCCACGCGAGGGTCGCCACTGGCGAGGACCGCCTCACTCAAGATCTGCAGGGTCGCGAAGGAGGCCATTGCGGCCTCACCGAGCAAGGCCATGATGGCCTCGCTCGGGGCCTTTGCGGCCTCGTCGGCCACAGGCAAGGTGGCCCTCGCCAACAGCCGGGGAGAGTCGCCGACCAAAATGAAGAAAAAAATAAAATTAAAACGTGATCGTCAGATATACAGACTAATCACTCCATTAATAAATTGTTATAGTTGCGCGATTCATATTCCCATATGAAAAAGATAAAAAAAAAAAAAAGTAGCACGATAGCGTACCGAAAATCACCGAGAAAGGGATTATGCACCAAATTGAGAACAAAAATAAAGCTAGATTGGCTTTTTTACTATTAGTAGTTGCTAGTTGTTTTTTTCGAAGCGGGCATCTAAATGCTATTATAGGTCTTTTTTCTAATTCAATTGCTGACAAGATGTCGCGTGTGCGTAGAGAATTGACGTATAAATCATCAAGCAAAATTATTTTATTACGGGATTTTAAATTATTAGATTAACATAAGGAAATTAGTGATAAAAATGGACAATACGAGCAATGTGCATTGATACATACATACATACATATATATATGGAAAAAGAATTATATTTTGAGATTTGAAATCTTCTTAGGAAAATTTCTTATAGGATAACACGCGAAAGATAAAATAGAAAGTGTGAAATGACACATTCATCCATGGACAAGATATTTATAAAATATAGAGAAGGAAAAAAAAATTGATTGAGACCCCTTAAAAATAGAAGTCTCGTTTATTTGCATCGGTCCGATACGAAAGTCCTTTCCTAAACCACTTACCCATTGAGTTGCCAGAAAATAGAGATAAGCTTTATAAAATTAGATTCAGGGTGCACTTGTTTCACCTGGGAACTTCATAATAAAGAAAAATATTTTCCATAAAATCAGTTTTCATGGAAAATGATTAGTTTTCGAGGGAAAATGATTTCCTTCCTGCCATCTTAGTTTGTTATTTTCCGTCCATGAAAAATATTTTTCATGAATCGATTAATTTTCCGTCGTCCAAACACCGGAAAATCAAAAATTAATTTCCCAAAAACAGTTTTCTTTCAAACAAATGAACCCTGAGTTTCAATAATGTACAACCTCGAAAGATCCGCTTTTAACTTGCTTACTTCTTACTCCTAGTGATCCACCGAGTCGAAAAATTTCTGGAAATAGTTTTCCTTCGAATAAACCGACCCGAGGAGTTCCAAGAATGTGCAGGCTTGAAAGATCCGCTTTTAACTTGCTTACTTCTTACTCCTAGTGGTCCGTCCACTCTTTCGACTTTCGATCGCCTACTTTTATCCTGTCTTATGTCAATCTATCCTCGGATTAACCCCCCTCGAACACATCGTTTTGCAGGGTACATTGCCTTCTCTTCTGGGGTTTCATCCATCACCCTTTTGTCTGTCATGGCTGCGGTTCTTGGCTTTGTCGATCATTGACTCTGTTAGTTTCGCTGCTTATCTTTCTGTGGCTTGTTGCCCTCTCGTTTGGATCTATGCTTTGTGAAAAGTCTCAAATCTTTTCCATGTTGCTTGCAATTTGCAAGTGGGCTTAGAAATCATATCAACTTTACATTCCATAGATCGACTTGGCATTGCAGGTCTCATATAGATCATGTCAGTGCGCATCATCAAGACTACAAAATCACGACACCCCAGTGAAGGAAAATCAGCAGATTCAGCACCACCAGTCCAGAGAGTCAGAAGACCTTATAGCTTTCGATTATATGATACGTCCGGGATTAAGGCATCGGAATTCAGAATTCTGCTAGCGTTATCGATAATTAAGGGGGGGAAAAAATAGTAAGTAATGACTCGTGAGATTGTAATGAAACTATAGACATGTACAGTAACGTGATTGTCGGTCGGTTCGATGATCCTATTGATTCTGTGAGCTTTTAAGACTTCTTACTATGAGGGCAACCACAACTTTTACAACAGAGAATGTAGGAGGGCACGTAGCAGAACAAGCGTGTGATCTTCACCGCTTTTTAGCTAATGTCTTCATCAACCCCTTGATGATCTTCCCAAACCACATCAAGTTCATGATTGCCAGCGCTGCCGGCACCAGAAAGACCAATAGATACCCGAATATGTGCATCTCAATGACCTGCCAAGAAGACAAAAGTTGGTTGCATGGTATCATCGCTGAAATTTGTATATGAACACAGAAGTAACCGATGGACAGATCGAAAGACAACAGACCAAACTACTAGACACCATTGAACTGGTAGGTATTGGACTTTTAAAGAAGTATATTAGCTGTACTTTCAGTATGATTAAAAACGATGAGATATGGCATCACAGGACTGGAAAGCCAAAAAAATAATGTTACAGAAGCCAAGTTCATTAAGTCTTTCTTTTTCCCTGAAGGGCAGTTAACTCAAATCTTGTTAGAATCCACATATTTCCAGTTCTAATGTCAAAATTCTTGACATTTCCAACAGCCAGTGCTGTCCATTGAAAAAACGACTCTGTATGCACACCAAGAAAAAAGACACTAACTAGTTATGACGAAGGAGGTGACAGGTGTTCCAAGGAATCTGAAGTTGGAGATCCCTTGGAAAGTTACAGATACAAATTGTAAACAGGTTCTCAGAAATCTGCACACCTGATGATAGTGCAAATACACGTGGTAGAACAAGTAAACGAACAGAAGAACCCTTGCTACCTGCATGTAACAGAAAGTATGCTTAGCACTAATGTCAGAACCAGCTCAAAAAAGAGATTCCACCTTGTAAGTCGTGACAGCTCATGGTATATCTGAATATGAACAGAGAAAATATCTTTACAAGATTGACAAGTACAATTAGCATAACCTGGTTTGGGTTTAACAAACAGCCCAACCAAGCAAACATCTGAGATATTTTCTGTCTCGATATTGCCTTAGAGGGTCTAGATCTTGGAAGGAAAAGGAAATAGAGACTCACCAACCAGGCAATAAACATGACCACGCCATTAATGAGGTACGCACCAGACTTCTTCATCCCAGAAGTGTCGAGAAACCTTCAAAATGCATATTACAGTGACGACACGAAAAGCTAATGAAGGGCTCAAGATATAACAAACATACCATCTCATATTGATCTCTGGAGTAGTAATCTCAGAGATAAGGACCATGTATGTATAAAGCTGTCCTTCCCCAGAAGCCATAGAATATGCTACAGCAATTCCAGAGAGTGAATGATGTATAACCTGAGACCAAGGGGTACTGACTCATCAGCGGTAATTACTTGCCTCTATGATAAAATCTACTGTTTTCTATTGCTCAATGTATTTGCATGCGTCAAATTATCTGCAATACCGTATTTGAGCATATAACTCCGTTCAAAGGTTTTTCTTTTTTTAATTGAACATGGTTTTGACAAACCATCAAGTAAATTCAATATAGCATGAGACTCAACCAAAGACCTGTCTTAATTATGAAGATATAACTCTTTTTCGATCTCCCTATTCATTTAACTAGCAATACAAAATTAAGTCTCATTTCCTTGCTAAATAGAAAGAAATAAAATTAGTTTAAGATGACAGTACGGACGAAAAAACGCATGTGTGAGAAAACTCTGCCCGTGATCTAACAAGAAGTAAAAATTTATTATAAGATCACTTACATACTCCATTCCACCTAAAGAAGGATAGAGCCAAAATATCATTCCGAGATCTGAAAGAAAATACCCAACAGAAACCTGCCAAAAAATTTCCACTAGCTGAATAACTGTTGGAGCATATATCAGCAATGATGCAAGCTATCAATGCAGCAACAGGGTGCATCCATAGAAAGTATATCTGCTATAACAGAAGTAAACTTCAAGTGAAGCCTACCATTCTAATATTTCATTATCCACGTAGGGTATTCTACTTAGCTCAGGCTACTACAGTTCACACAGCACTTACCTGCAATTGTCCGGTGGAACTCTGTGACTTCCCAAACATCAAGTCAAATCTAAGCCAAGCTTCACCCCTCAAAAATTTCCGAGTGAATGTATAAGATATTTCCAAAGTCCTAAGTATTAGGAACAAAATTTACTCACGAATAGCTGGGTCTCAAGTGTAATGTATTTTGTGGTGGTGATTGCCGGTCATTAACTATTAGAGCTACTCTTGTTCAAGCTCAAACTACATCTATTATTATAGTTACACTGAGAACTATAATTGCTACTGAATACTTTGTTCAAAAATTGATCACCGAATGACGATTGACAGTGGTTAAGAGCAATTACAGACAAAAATCTCTCAAAATTTTGAGCTTAGTTTCAAGAGAAAGGATTATGATAGGCTAGAGTTTAATAATACAACTCTTAATGCGTTACTTTGCAACTAGGTGTGGAAAAGCTTGAAGGATCAACAGGAATTGTGTGCGTCACTTCTCAATTGAAAATAAAATGCCAAAGAAAAGATATTGGATCATACAAATTACGAAATTCTAGCTTCTTTGACACAGTGGTGCATGGTAAGTGGAATATAGGCCAGGGCAGGGAGGATGGTGGAGGGTAAGTGATTTCACTTTGAGCAATATCTTCGTAAGGGCCATAACTGTGGATTATCTAGGCAAGCAAGTAAAAAGACATAATCACAAAATGGTGTTGCATCTCTGTAAAACATTTCCTGGTATATTGTTACAGATTCCTCTCAAAGGAGAACATAATCAAGTGGATCTTACCTTGGACTGCCGCCAAGGATAGCCAATTTAGCACTTACCCAGTCCAATTATTTCTAACAAAGAAGTGTTGTGCTTCTACAAGTATTTTGAATGGATTTGTGCTAAAAAAATTAAGCACTACTAATAAACTTCACAAATCAACTAATTAAGCACAATGGTTAATAAAATTAATCATAATACAGCTGCTTTTGCACCGTCAACTAATGGTAATAAAAATATACTTTGCTTCTCAAAGTGGCAGTACACATTTTGAGATCTACGTTTCACAATGGCTACTGAGCATATAACTTCAAAACACAGTCAATAATTGCTCAAATTTGCTATTTTAGTTTATTTTTCTGGTTGGACGTGAGGAACACCTCTCTATCCAATCAGGAGGCTTCTCTGCTAGTCCTAAAATTCCGCCATTTACCCGGGGAACTTGCTAGCCCTCTCAATGAAGAACTATAGAGTGTCTGTTACATCCGAAGAAACTAAACCTGGCTAGAGAAGACTCGGAAAATAAAAAAAATGAGAGCGCGTGACCACCAGAACTGAAGGCTGGCGCTGGGAGAATAAAAAGCTATCATCAAGGCCAAGGGCCTTGCAAAGAATTGTCTTCATACTCCACAAGGTTTTTTGTTAGTGTCGTTCGTAAAATCATATTAAGTAGGATTTGAGGTGGCTTTATCGCTCATGTGCACACTCTGCAGAGATCCTGTTAAGACCTTAAACACGTTTTCCCTCTTTGTAAAATCAAAGCTGGAGGGAGTCAACTACTAAGGACTTGTCCTATGATTTCAATCAACAAGTTTATTAGAAATGGAACCCTGGTGAAGACTTTTCATCCACAATGGTAGTGAGAAATGAAGAAAATAAACAATTTCAATGGTAGATGACTTCTCTTAATCAGATTTCAAAGCAATTTATGCAGGAAAGTCTTCCCCATGTTGAGTTTTGACTTGATCCCATTGTCCTTCCCTTTTACTTTATATAAAAGGAAAGAAAGGTCGGGATTCAAAACCTATCTCATTGCAAATATGAGAAGTCACATTAGAAAGGCGGTGGAAGAGCACAACATTGAATATGATATAGGCTATCTAACTAAAGAATATGCTCATGAACTCTACTTATTGCCCAACACATCCATAGTTAAATGAATCCTAGTTACAACGATGTAATATGAGTGTATCGGTCTTAGAAAATAAGTTTTTGCATACTAGAGATGAAGGACCTTTCCAAAGAGGAAAAAACTGTCTCATGACTAGATAGTCTTCTGGCGTAGAAAGGGTTAGAACTTGTCTACTTTGCATTTTATGCACGGACAGTCATGTTTCAACCATTCAGAAAGAAGATGATACTTCAAATGAGTTCAGGAGAACGAGAGAAACTTACCCCAAGGAGAAAAGTAGACAGAGGTGAATGTCGAAAAGTCACGGGGCCAGCAAGTCGATCAGAGAAGAGATCAGACCAGAACACAAAGTATAGTGACATGGTTGTGATGAAAATGGCATGGACTGTTGACATACCACTAAAAAAGGATTGATATTAGAAGCAACCATGGAGCTATACTTATAACTCATTAAGCAAGTTTTAACATATCCACCCACCGGTTATTCCACTCGATGCGTTGTACTTTTGTCAGACTTGCATAAGTTTTGAAGTAAAACATGCTGACTAACTGGGTGAGATCATACACCTGTAAGATATTTAAATGTCAGGAAAACGAAAGTAAAAGAATAACGAAAAGCCAAATGCTACTAACGTAGAAAAAAGATGTCTGATCACATGCATTCTTTTAAAAGAGGTTTTTGTCACTGTCTATTAAAGAAATAGCCTTGCTACAACCTAGGACCCAGCCAAAAGCCCAGCAAGCCAAGCAAAATTGGAGGAAAGAAGCTTCACAATGGAAGGGAAAAAAGTAAATTCGCTGAAAGAGCATACCAATTTACAAGCCAAAATGCCAGCTACAACGGACGTAAATGGAAGTAAGGTATCAGCTAATAGATAGCTTTTGACCAACACTTCGGCGTGGTTCCTGTAAGCCTCCATACTCATAACAGTGTTTTTGGAAACTGCCCGCATGATGAACTCTTTGGTCACATATGGATCTCCAGGTTGTTTGTGCCTCCTGCCTCTTCTAGTGCTATCTTTCCCTATCCATTTTGATTCTTTATGCTGTCACCGCAATTCATAAAAGAGCTGGTAAATTTGTAAGGCATATGAAAGGATGAGTCATCTACAGCACCATTATTGACAGGTTCACTTGATATAAGATAATTTTCAGCAAGCGCCTTAGTGAAGTTGATAAAGAAAACTTCCCTATATGGTTTTCATGTACGACCAAGAAAGAGTGACATTTTCAGAAAGGCTTGCCAATTCAAGACTTATTATTGCAAAGGAAAATGATTGATGGCAATGATTTCCAGGCATAAGGCTTGACAAAAGAAAAGGACCAAGAAAAAAACTCTAGTATTCGATAGCAGCATCAGCATATTAGTCAGTCATAGCTCAGAGCATAAGATGGATTTTCCCAACAAGTTATTATATATGCTTTAGCAGACTATATTTTAAAAAAAGGCGACTGAAATACTTAATAAGAGTCAAACGGTTTGGTGGAATCTTGATGTATATTTTGACTTCCCAATACATGATGCAGAGAGAAAAGTATGCATAACCTCCAGTTAGTAATAACAGCCAGAGAAATTGCATCCCAACAAGTTATTGAATATGCTTTAGCAGACTATATGTTAAAAAAGGCGACTGAAATACTGAAGAAGAGTCAAATTGATGATGACGGTTTGGTGGAATCTTGATATATATTTTGACTTCCCAATACATGAATGCATAACATCGAGTTAGTAACAATAGCCAGAGAAATTGCACCAATAACGATGAAACTATTACTCTTTGGGCACTTCTATGTTTAAGCACAACCGGTTAAATCATTCTTATCTGCATCTACCTCACATTAAGGCTTCCTGTTTTTCCCTTACTGTGTTCTCACTAAACTTGCACAACCACAATATTTGAAATGAAAATATTATTCAACACAAATGCACACATCACAGACACCAAGAGCTCTATTTTGAGAACAGCCAAAAAAATAGAACACAAAAATCATCCAGAGCTTCAAGATTATCCATTATGGTTCTCATTTTACTCTTTCATGCACATCAGGCACTTTAATGTGATATTGTGACCCAAAAGAAAAACAAGAGTTCGATGGAGTATAGAGACAAGGCATCAGACACAAGAGCTGTTCTGAGAAGACACTTGGAAGGTCTCAACGGGAAAATATGCAATGTTAACAAGTGAGGCATCAAAGCAAATAACAATGACCGAAAGAGATCTGAACCGCGAACACACATCGATGCACACTGGCTCAGAAAGGACGCATACCGGCACTGATCGAATGACCAAAAGCGCGACCAAAGAAAAACGCTCGTGTGCTCTCCTCTGTTAATCAAAACATGGTCATCCCACAAACAGATGCTACCTTAAAATCACACCCCAAGGTGGTGCTAGCTTAAGTCCTACTAGCAGAGCGAAGATCAGCTGCTAGAACAACATCAAGTACACAAAAAATTGAACTGAGAAAATTCTTGATACAATCACACACCTTTTAATTCCATTCATCACGCAACAAAGAGGGAGAAGAGAAAAGCAAATGCCAGCAAGGTAAGAACAAGAATTTCAACAAAGGATGGCACTTCCACTTCCAGTTGAGAAGCCAAACCAAACTCGAGAATTCAACCCACACCAGCACAGGCAAAAGCAACGAAAATAGCGCACGACCCAAGTCGCAGAGAGCCGGAATCACCCACGAATACAAATGCGGGAGACCAGAGCAACCCAACTCACCCGGACCGAAGACCGAACGCCGGCCGAGCGCCCGAACCCAGATGAGGGGAGCCGAAGCCTAGACCGACCCAGAACCGCAAGCGATCCGATACAGGGGAGGAGAAGCCGGAGGCGGAGATGAAGAGGCGAACGCAGGTGGGTTTTCGGCAGGTGGGCAATCAAGGAATCAAGGAATCAAGAACCGCGAGGCGAGGCGAAATGGCGCGGACCCAGATGAGATTCAACCACCGGGAGGAGAACCCAACCACCCAGAGGCCCTCCGGATCGATGGAAAACGCGGGGCGGCAGCAGCAGCAGCAACGAGGGAATCCCTCCACCAGAAAGCAACAATTCTTCTCGCGCGAGCGTCTCTCTCACTCTCTCTGTCTGCGAATTGCGAAACGAATAAAGTGTGGAGGAAGGCCTAGGGAGAGAGAGAGAGAGGGATTGGGTGGGCAGGGGAGGCAGAGTGCGTGATAAGGCAAATTAGGAGTTGCTGTCTGATTGTGAATTCTACTCTCTCTCTCTCTCTCTCTCTCTCTCTCCTGTGTTGGGTTGGGTCGTTGGAGGAGGAGGGAGGATGGCCATTCCTTGCATTTCCATCCAAGAAAAATCAAAACTTTATGATTTTAGTGTCATAAAGATGAAGTTTTTTTTTTTTTGGGGGGGGGGGGGGGGGGGTCACCCACCGGAAAAAAAAAAATTTTACTGTGTCCGCGGCATGATACAGACACCGCGTTGTCCAGGGAACGGGACTTGCAGGGTCCCCAAAGTCAACTTCTTCGGTTTTTACCTAAATTTCTACGTGCACAGGTTTATGTAGGAAGGACCAGCCATGTCTCTCCCGTGCAACAATAATAATTCCTCCCCTACGAGTTGTTACAGAGGGTGGGCGGCGCGCGAGCGGCGGGCGTCAGATGAAATCTCAGATCGGAGAAAATCAATGTGGTTTCAGGATAGTTAATGTGTTTCGATTGTTCAAGCTTTTGACTTTTTCGAGTGGAGATCGATCAGATTAGATAAATTAGGGAAAATTTCAAATCGGTACTCAAAAGTGGGGTCATTTTTTTTCGAAAAAGAGATCCAAAGTGGACATAATGTCAAATAAGGGCCCGAAGTGCCCAATCAGTTTCAAATAGGGGTCCGAAGTGCCTAATTAGTCTCAAGTAAGGGCCTGGGTGGGGCGACCCTTGCCCGACCCTCACCGGCATCGGGCACTTTAGGCCCTTATTTGATACTATATCCATTTTGGATCCCCTTTTGAGAAAATGACTCCACTTTGGTACTAATTTGAAATTTTCCCAATAGATTATGCGATCCAATTAAGGCACTAGAATTTTGCTGCGTGTTCCCATGTCATTAACAACGATGCTGTCCACCTCCATTGGGTTTTAAGACAAGGCGGTATTTGGCTAACGTGCTAAGAATTTAGGGTTTTTAATTATTGAATCCTAGTTACCCATAGAATCAGAAGGAACCCTTTGTTCTAGTTTCCAACTAATGAACTCTTTCTTTTCTATTTTTTTTTTTGAAATATATAATCAGTTAAATACTATGAAAATTATTCGACCCAAAAAAAAAAAGTACCATGAAAATTGAACTTTTTTTATCTAATCGAAGAGAAAAGTCCAAAATTTGAGGGGTTTTGCAAATTCACCCATGGAAAATCTGCAGCATCGATGACGTCACCTTCCCCCACGCGATTGCCCCCCCTTCTTCTTCTCCTCCTTCGAGGTTTACTAGGGTTTATCTCCTTCACCGTCCCTCGCATTCCGCTGTTGTTGAGCTCGAGCTTCGGTGCGCGTAACCCGGAAGCAGACATTGATTCTAGCCATCCGAGGTACGTACGAGCAAAGCCTCCAAGACCCTCTTCGGATTTCTCCGTCAGCCGTCCATTTTCAGCTGCAGGGTCGGTGGCAAAGAGCTATGGTGAACGACCCACAAAGCCTCTTCGCTTAGCCATGCCGCATACGGTCGACCCAGATGGTGTCGTGCCATGTTTACCCGCAGAACCCGCGGAAAGTCGCCCCCTTTGTCTAGGATGATGGCCCAACTCGGCCACCGCGTCCTGTGCCCTCCTCGTGTTTGCGAAAAGTCCCGGGCCAGAACGAACCCGTCTTCCGAGCCCTTGAAGGTCCGGTGTTTCGGCCGGTCGAGCCTCGACTGCGACGGGAGGGCGGCCCCGGCCGCCGAGCTGGGTGCGCCGGCGCGCTCCCGCCTGGCTCACCGGTACTCTCGTGTCGCCAGGAGCAGGGCGCAGGACGCGCTCTTCGATTACCTGCACTGCACTAGGAGCTTCAGCTTCTCCGATGCCGAGTACATTAGCAAGAACTCGCCGTTTTTCGTGCAGGATCTACTCTCCAGTGTCAATGCTGAAAAGGACGTTGCTCCGGCTGTAGAGAGGTTTCTTAGGTATAATCCTATCAATGAGTTCGAGCCCTTCTTCGAGAGCGTGGGCGTGCGCCCATCTGAGCTGCAGTCGCTTCTTCCGCGGAACAGGATGTTTTTAAGTGATGATCATCTCATGCTTGAGAATTTTCAGACCTTGTGTAATTATGGGATTCCGAGGAACAGGATCGGTAAGATTTTCAAAGAAGCTAGAGATATCTTTCGATGTGATATTGGGGTGTTGCCTTCGAGATTGGAGGCGTATGAGGATTTAGGTCTGAGTAAATCGACAGTTATCAAGCTGGTAATACGTTGCCCCACGCTGTTGGTCGGTGGCATCAATTTACACTTTGTCGAGGTCCTAGATAAACTGAAAGGGCTTGGTGTAGATATTAATTGTATCGGTGAGTATTTATCTGACAAGAAAAGATACAGTTGGTGTAGAATTCTTGACACCATAGAGTTCCTTGAGAAAGCGAACAATGGAGAGAATCAGATGGGGGAATTATTCAAGAGGAATCCTGCTTTTCTGTTCAATGGCTCAGGGAGGAAGGTGTATGTGGTTTTTGGCCTATTACTGAAAGTGGGCATCAATGTGGATGAGGCTTGTGTACTGTTTGCTGAAAATCCCTTCATTCTGTCTGAGAAGTCCTTGAAAAATATCTCAAAAGCTGTCAGCTTTCTGATTGAAATCAGAGTGGAAATGGATCTAATAGCCAATATAGTTTCCAACCACATGAAGCTTTTGGCCGCGTCTTCCCTCAAAGGACCCAAAACTGTTTGTAAAGAATTGAAAGTTATAAGAGACTGCTTAGCTCTTATGATAAAGGAAGATCCTTTGAAATTGTTCCAGTTGGCATCCAAGTGGAGGGTAGGGACACTGTACCAAGATCCAACTAAATACATAGAGAAAAAAACATTCTTGATGAGGTTGGGCTTTGTTGATAACTCAGAGGAGATGACAAAAGCATTGAAACGGTTTAGAGGAAGAGGAGATCAGTTGCAGGAAAGGTTTGACTGTCTTGTAGAAGCTGGTCTGGACTTCAATTTGGCCTCAAAAATCGTTAAACAAGCTCCTACGGTGCTGAACCAGACGAAAGATGTCATTGAGAAGAAGATTGATTGCTTAGTCAACCGGTTGGGCTATCCACTAGAAATCCTTGTGGCCTTTCCAGCATATCTATGCTACGATATGGAGAGAATACAAAAAAGAATATCAATGTACATTTGGTCGAGGGATAGAGGTGCAGTCAAGCCAATGATGTCCAGCAGCTCCATCCTTGCATGTTCAGATGCTCGTTTTGTACGGTATTTTGTAGATGTTCATCCTGAAGGTGCAGTGATGTGGGAAAGTATAAAACAGTCACCACATTCAGGCTAAAGATACCCTTCCTGACATTCTTTTTAGCGTAGATTCTCTGATGCTATCAGTGTACACACAATTTCTAAAAATGCTTTCAATGAGAGCATCTTGGTACAAGGTGCTGGGTTCTTTCACCGACAAAATTAAGTAAATGAAAAAAGTTGCCAGATGCTTTGATCGCCGGTTCTTCGCATATAGTTGCTTATCACTGTAACATTTCATCATGGTTAGATGTGCTTCAACAATGTTGTCCGCAAATCGGACTAGGCAAGGTTGGTTGTTTTGATGAGTTGGGGAGACTATGGACGTACGACTTTCTCTTTCAACTGGGAAGGATTGTTGCAGTAATAGTTTCTTCTCTCTAAATTAACAAAGAATCTTATTAACGAGTGCCTTCAAGACAGTTTAATTTAAGCAGGCAATCAAGGAAAGTTTACGGTTTTTAGTGCACTACTTTTCTCATTTTGTGTAATCATTGCTTCAAAAATCGAAGTGTTCCTAATCAAGCATACTTTAACAAGTTCCCATTATTAGTTTCCCAGATTCCAGACCTATAAATAAGTATCATCTGAACATGCTGGTTTGCTTTTAAATTGCTTCCTCGTTTCAATGTCCCCTAATCATTCCTTTATTGGCGACATCCTTAAGCTCTGGGTGCTCTGCTGTCTAGCATGTCGCTATTATTTGTTCTGTCGACCACGGCATCGGCATCGGTCTGCACCTGGAAGTAGGTCGGGGTTTGTACCATGGCCATTGTTGATTGATGACCAATCTGGTTAGGGTATCAAGCAAATATTTAACAGCATAAGTGGCGATCCCAACCTGTAGGGTCTGCCGTTTCTGAAGGGTGCTTGCTCGACTGCTACATTAGTACATTCTGTAGCTTGCTGTTGTAAATAGCCGTTCTATGCAGTTTTCATAACCTTCTTTAGATAACATCCAAGTTGGTATTCCATTACCATACTCCCACCCAGTTCATATACAACATAAATTTGAGTGAGGGTGACCCAATACATTGAAAGCTTCGTTGATAAAAGAGAGAACAGACTTGCAGTTCCATAAAAAGACTCCAATGCAGTTAGTGCTTCATCAAGGTTTAATCCCAATCTTTGTGGCATCTCCTACCTCGAGTGGTATTAGGGAAGGATTAATAGAAAGATTACACGGGCCGTATACTTCAAATTAATCCAAAAAGAGGGTGTGAACCCTTGGGATTCCACACTTTTCATTCGAACTGAATATGTTCTATTAAGAGATAATAGCGAAACACATGGATGAATGTTCTTTTTACTTGCTTATATTAAACTATCACATTTTAGGAAACATATAGTCTTATTCCAGAGACAATCGCGGTCACTGCACTATCTGGAATTCCCTTTCCTAATCCAACAAGAATTAGTAAATACTTTGTATATGAAGTGCCCACTTCACAACTTGATTTTGTGCAACTGTAGTTCGATCACTCTTTAACGATCCGCGACGGTCTCGCGCACAAACGCGCAATCTCTCGATTTTCCACGCTCCTCAATTCTCACTTGTCTCTCCAGAGAAAAGACATAACATGGATAAGAAGAAAGCAAAGAAACCCGTGAAGATGTTCGATTTCTTCAACCCCGAGTCTCCTCCGATCATCATCGACGGCTCGCCGCCGGCACCGTCGAAGGTCTCTTCGTCCTGTGGTTCCTATGTGGCCCACACTAACGATGATAATGAGAGGAAGAATCGGAGCCCAGAAGAAGTCTTGTCTCCACGTCTTCCGCTGACCCTCGACTTGTTCCCTACTCAGACCAGCACTGACATTCAAGAAAGCTCGTCTTTCTCGGTCGGGGACAACAATGGCAGCAACCAGCGTCAAGAAATCGCTCCCGCCACGCTTCAGGGCAGTAAGCAGGAATCTGCGCAGACGTCAACCTCCGACAAAACCGGCGTTATGTGCGTGGAGACGAAGAGATCATCATGTAATGCCGTCCCGAAGAAGAACGAGCGACCCGTTCCGAGACACGAGGAAGAAGAGAAGCGCTACAAGGGCATCTCCACGGAGCTGGTGCTCTACGAGGACCCGTGGAAGATCAAGAAGAAGCTCAAGCCCAGCGACCTCGGGCACTTGTCGCGGCTGCTGCTCCCCCGGGACTGCATGAGGATCCACGTGCTCCAGTGGATGGGAGCGGAGATGGTGAGGCAGGTCCAGAGCCGGGAAGGGATGGACGTCGCCGTGAGGGACGTGGACACGGGCAACGAGCACCGGCTCGTGTTCCGCTACTGGGCATCGTCGAACAGCTACCTGCTGAACGGGGAGTGGAACAAGCAGTTCGTCAGGAGACGAGGGTTGGAGAAGGACGACGAGATCGGGATGCTCTGGGACACGAACGCATGCATGTTCCATTTTACGGTACTTCGGAAGGTTGCTTGCGGCACAAGCAACGCAGCAGCTTGAGTCTTTGTTAGAACGTTTTCATGATAAGATTTTGTTAATATTGACCTGTGAATTAGGGCTTAGGAGTTTCTTTTATTCTTCCCACAAAGTGATAAATGTTTTGTTAGACATATATGATTTATCGCTAATCTAGGAGATACGGGTTGTTCACTTTATTGAATTTGATAGCCATTGAATATTATATGACATTATGACTCGACACTAACAGCACATGCGTCGACTAATCTAAATCAAAGAATTGATTTTCCAAGGAATAAATAACCATAAAAGGAGTCGCGACAACAAAAGACAGAAGGTAATAAAATACACGTGTGAGTTGGGTTAGAAGTGTCTCACATCGAAGAATTAGTGTGTGTAGAATAGTTAATATATCCTAATTGATTCATGACACGTTAATTCTAAGTTTTTGAGTGCAAATAGGACTTCTTTTGCGCGCTCCCAATACATGCATGACTATGGCTAATGTTTTTTCAAGGGAGACCTGAGTCTGTTCAATTTTAGCTCGTTTGAGCAGCACCTCCGACCATCGGAGCTTTTTTCCCCTAAGGCAAGCATGTCGTCACCTTCTGGTGCCACCGCCGACCACAGCTCGGTATGCCTGTCTGTCGATCTTTGCCTCGATCCACTTGACCTCGACCCCCTCGAGTTGGTCCTTTAGGCATGAAGAAGTCTTTGGGGACAGAATCTATGTCCATGTAACAATTTCTGGCTTTGACATCAGCAGTCATTGCAGCCCAGTCAATAGACTAAACAAAGCACTAGCGTTTCACATCACCTGTCAAGCAGACGACACAAAAACAATCTGAATTCCGTCTCTGTGCTCTCCTAACACGAGTTGGAGCAATATTCATTCGACAAATATCCGCAACAAAGCCAAATCCATGACTCGAAGGGAAACCACGGACTTGCGAATGCACATCCGATACTGGACGGACAACAGCATTGCTGGGCATCCAGCCTCTGTTGAAACATCTCGATAAGGCTCCTGCTGTATAGCAAAAGTCCCAGCTGCTTTGCTGAGAGCAAATTGATCCATGCTCCGAAGAACTTGTTCAATCGATCCAGTTGCATCACTATCGGAACTGCCCTGGCTAGCTTGCTTGTAGCTTTCAGATGAACAGTTTCCGAGCAATGAATTGTAATAATGTCGATACTTTCGGTTTGTTTCTTGCCTGTACCAGGGGGCCCCTGAACGTTCTTGCCTCTTTGCTGTCCCCACTGCTCGTAGCAGCCCGCTGAAGCTGACAGTTGGGGTCCGTTGGAAGTACTGTTTTAGGTGTCCTACGAATTTCTGAGTGAAGCAACTCTGGCATGGCATGGATCTGCTGCTCACAAAATAAGGAAACTGTTCGGGATTTAGGCTCGTGTATCGATGTTTGCATCTGAAGAGGACAGAATCAGTAAGAAGAGGTTTAACACGAGTATCGAAAAATTGCTGCGAGTTGAGGCGACGGAATGCTTGCATAGCAATATACTACCGTTGACACTGCTCTACTAATGTTGACAAATCATCGATGTTCTAATTGTTCGTCCATTAGAATTACAAATCAGAACCATCGTCTCTTGCATACTAATCTTGAGAAAAATCTCGATTTGCAGATGCAGAGCAGATTCGTCTCTTACGTCTTAATATAGGTATCTTACTCAAAGAAGTGGCATAACTGCCGGCGGACCTAGGCTTACATATATTCGAGTGCAGCAAACGAGCGATAGTTTCCGAGCTGTGAGGGTCCTAGGTGATACTAAATCATTGTTCACCAGTTGTTCTGATTTGATTTTCTGTACATTATGAGATCGCGCCATGCTGGTGCCAAGAATCATAGCGGCGAAATCGAAGGTCAAGATGTTTGTTCCATCACTTGATCGAATCGGGTAAAGACAGTCGCAATTTGGAAGTCATAGCATTCAAATCGGAGCCATTGGACTCAGCAGGTTAGGATTGCCATTTTGGAAATCAAATTGAAACGGTACATCATACTCTAGACATCGATCATCGTCTACCTGATGATCAGGAACACCTGATAAAATCGGCTCTATGTTCTGTTTCAGCATACTTCATCGAATAAAGGACGAAAGATCTTGCGCCAGCATCATCCTTCGAATCTACAGCATCAATGTCCGACCAAAGAAACAGAAGAAACTCATGTTAAAATCTAAAGCTGAACATTGCGACTCAGTTCTGAACACAACCATTCAGACCAACTCCAACTTGAGCAGTACATATCATCTGATTTGGAGTCCACAAAATGGCATGTCAATCATCATCCTGTTTTAAGCTAATTGCATGAATGAGCTCCACGAATAATAGGCCTGTGGCAAATCCTTTCACGTTTGAAAACCTTTCCGATACGTAAATGCTTAATTTTTAGCCAAAGGAAGAGCATTTCCAAACATTGCAAGCTCCGACCATCGCGCGAGGTTCTCGAGTTATAATAACTTTTATCTAGCCAAAGATTCTCGAATTATAATAACTTTTATCTAGCCAAAGATGGACCGAGATAATCGGAAAAAAAAAATTAAAAGCAAAACATGGAATCTGACCTGTTGAAAATAATTATACCTGTATATAACATTTGCAGAACAGACTGATTGCAAAATAATGCATAACTGTACATGATGCAATTCAAAGCTCTTTGTTAGGTAACATGAACAAGTGGAGACCTCAAAAAAAAGACAGAAACATCTCAGATCACTACCAAAACATCCTATGAACGTCTGAATATATATCTTTGTCAGCTCAACAAAATGAGGACAGAAGCCAAAATTTTCGCTTCCTTACCTAAAAGAAAAAAAAACCAGTTGCCCTTCAATAGGTTGGTTTATTCCATATTGGTTCATGTACGTCTTCACGATCTTCTAATTTTGTTATTGTATTTTAAGGATGATGAGGACGACGAAGATGAGAGCCCTGACAGGCTCATCTCCGCCTTGTCCTTAGAGAAGGCCTTCTGGACATCATCCTTGAGTTCCATGAACCTTCTCGTCTTTAACCTCTGCTCGTCGGGCGTGCCCTTCTCGAGGTAACACAGGTCAGGCAGATCATCCTCCATAAACTTATCAAGAACCTCAGAGCAATTAGGAAAGTAGCGCCGACCCATTTCCACTGCCACCATGACAATGGGTTCTCGTCAGTGAATAACACAATTGAACTGAACTGGCCTCATCCACATGAAACTTCGACAGCAAAAACAATTTAGAAGCTGTGTTTACATCAAATCAACATATAATCACCAGACTTCTGAAACGAATGAGTTCGAATTTACAATCAGATAGATCATGATCCAAGTCAGTTTGTTCAGCATCTGAAAGCATGCTCATCACAAAGAATGTGGGATCTAAAGCAAGAATATGTCTCCCAGCGACGCGAGATAGATTAGTTAGACTTCTCAGTCAGCTTGAAATTAAAGTTACGATAGGAAATGACATGCACGCGTGTTGGCCCCATAAGCCACCGAAATGCAAAACTGGCATTACCCACAATGTGCTGCGCGCGCACTAGAGAGAGAGAGAGAGAGAGCAGCACGAGGAGGAGGAAGAGGAGGAGGAGGAAAGCAGTATGGAGCACTTTAGGAAGCATATAGAGAGCACTCTCTCATGTTTTCGTCATGAAGTCACAAAGCATTTTATGTGACTCTTTTTACCCCTTTTCAACATCACAGCGTGAATTAGCATTTTGCGGCCATTGTTAGCTGGATCTTTATTTCTCCTTTCGTCTTTATAGTAAGACATACAATTTCTTTTCACAAAAGCTGTTGGCCCAGCATTGGATTTTATAAACTCAATCGTTCAAAGCAAGAAAAAATTAACTAAAAGCCAAGGTATGCTCTTCCCCCTTTTTTTTTAAGAAACTACTAGTTATAGACTCAACATCATTCCAAGACGAAAGAGGAAGAACTTTTCTTAATCAATAAAGCTGAGCAGCAAAAGAGTATGTTTCAAGTTACCTGTTCTTTGGAGGGCTTCCATTCGAGATCGCAGTCTTTTGTTTTGAACTATGGGGGTCTCATTCAAATCAACCTCCCTCAGATTTCCACTTGAACCTTTTCTTGCAGAAAGACCAGCAAACTCAGCTGTCATCTCAGCATGAGCAATATCCATAGCTAATTTAGCCTCAGTTGGGAAGAACAGTCTTGCAAATGCAACTGCAGTTCGTGATACCGACAGCGTATTAAGTTTAATTAACTTGGCAATGAGGGAGATAATAAATTCTGCAGAAATGATTGATATCCATGAAGTGCAGAAGCATAAATATAAATTGATAAAAAAAAAAGTGTTCTCCATGAAGAACAAAACGTGAAATCAAAATATTCTGAAGCTTTCTTAAGAAACAACCAAAAGAAAAGCACACGCCATGATTCTCAGAATCGCCCTAGGTAAAACCAAGATGATTTAGATGCCTTATCAAAGAGTCAATCGAGGTCAATCCCAAAAGCAAAATGGACCTACACTACAACCACTAGTTTAGGTGCCTCTAATGTGCATCAATTCATTGACTTGTACAGAAATCATTTCTGTCCCCACAATTCTCTCCATACTATAGAACAGTGGGACACCACTGGATCTACGCTTGTGCTAGCATGTTGCTCTCTTCCAATCTTCCAAATCTCTATCTCACTTGAAGGTTTCAAAGGGACAAGGAAAGCAAGGAAATGTTAGACATGCGACTTATTGCGGGTGGAATTCACAGAATCAACATACACAAAACATCTTGCAGGTTACATGAAATCAATCCAGATTAGTTGTTATCCTTCCAGAACGGTGAACTTTTCAACAACTCAAACCATCATTTGTTTCAATTTCTTTTCACCCTCCACGAAGCGTAGGTTGTACCACACAACCTTCTATTCTCGTAAAGATGACATCCCTGCTGGAACTATTCATTGCACTGCACATACGGGGATACATAAGCACTCAAATTTTGGCGTTCGTCTTGTAAATTTTCAATAAAAAGCTTGGATCATCTCAAGAATATTCAGGCAACAAATGCTGCAACATACAGTGCAACACCATAATCTACAAGAAACCAAATATAAGCCGAAAAAATCAGTACCTCTGTTTTCCAGATACAACAGTTTCATGTGTAGATCATCAGATACAATAGGAGACGAAACAGAAGCATCTCCTGCCAATGGATTCCTCAAAATTTCCCTCTCCAGTACGTCTATGCACAGCCTGTCCTTGTTTGCTTCCTGGCACTGCTCTATTTTAGCATGATAATCCTTAGGCCTTGTCAACCTTCGGCAGATGCTGACAGCATTCTGCCCATCAGATGTCAATTCCGATGCACGAGCGCCTTTTGACAATAATGGGACTATTATCTTAGGCTCCTTCCTCATTGCAGCAACATGAAGCACGGTGTATCCCCTCCGGTTTCGAAGGTTGACATTAGCCACGCCCAAACCAAGCAACTCAGAAACGACCTTGGCGTCACAGTAAGCTGCAGCATAATGTAAGCCGTAGGCTTGATCTAAGGTGATATTGGACTCGCTCAAGAGAAGCGTAACAAGCTCAATATCATCGGAGTCCAAGGCTTTGTGAATTCTCCTAATTCTCTTCTCATGCAAGGGGTCTGTAATTTCCAAGTTAGCTTCATCTTTAGGTTCAGACTTGAGACGCAGCAATTTAATCTCTTCTGCAACCCTATGGGGAAGCTCTTTCTCAAGAGAGATGTCGTCAAGATCAGATCGAGCCACTCTATCAACACATTGCATCACAAGTTGATTCAATTCACAGTGGAAAGCAACGGTAAGGATTGGGATGATGTCTTCCGATCGAGCCTTCCCAACAAAGTTAACAAGATGTCGCTGCAGTTGCATGACATAGCAATTCAAAAATTATCTACAGCACAATGCAAATCATCTGCATAAGGAAATTTTGTTTGTTTTGATTGATCAAAAAACAAAGGTCAAATGTGCAGGTTTCCAGCTTATAACAGACCACAAAGAGACAATAAAGATGATACGAACAGTCCTAGATTGCACCAAAACTTTCCTTCTAATTCCGCCACATGGCCTTGCAAGAGCCAAATTAAGGCATCTGCTAGTTAAAAAATCCGCCACAAATTTCAGCAAAGTCTGGTCTCCCTCATGGCTCTAACCATTCTTGAAGTTGTCACTCTCAAATATACTTCCGCAAGGGAGATTCTCATAAGATGCAGAGACCATGTGGACGAGTTTCAAGTGACAATGCTATCTTGACATTCCTTAAATCTTTCACCATATAAATGGGGCCATAAAAGAGCAATCACTTTAAAAAAGACTGAATTTTGTGTGTTAAAATTAACATACGCTCGATGGACAAGTCTATTTCCACAGGTACAGCACTTTGTTCAGCATAGAGAGGAAGGGACTAACCTGGAGGAGGGAAACCAGCTCCCGGATCTGAAAGACATACGAGGCATACATCAGCTCCACCGCAAAATTGATAGCTGGGCTACATGCATCATGGTTACAAGTATTATCAACGCAAGTAGAAACCTCCACCGGAGAACGCTTCAGCTTTCCCGTGTACACATAGCTCAAGAAAATCAGAAAGGCTTCATGTCCGACCTTGCCAAAAGGCAAAAGACTGTCCATGTAATACTTTGGTTTACCCTCCTTCTCACAGGATCCCTTCTCTCGCTTGAAAAGGTCAGTGAAGAAGTCACTCCTGGCAGCCAAAATGCATCGATGAACACCGACCGAGATGTTTTCGACAACAATATCAGCATCACTATAATCGGGAGTGGAATCAGAAAGAAGCCTCTCCAAACTAGAGCTGAGTTTGCCAAGACTGATGACTTCAAGGCTATGCCCCGTCTCAGAGCTACAAGGACCCGATAGGTGGTTGTTGCTGACGGAGTTATTGGACAAATGGGAAGATGAAGTGAAGCTCAAAGATGATGATGGTTCTATCGAAAAAGCCATAAATCTAACTAGGGAAGGCTAAGTTACTGAAGGACCTGTGTTGTACTGCAGTTCAACCTTGAAACCCAAGAGGAGGGTAGAAACTTCCTAGCGATGATTAGAGCTGAAACTCAGTTTAGCTAGCAGTGCTCATAAGTGCAGGACAATCTGGTCTAACACAAACCTTATATATTTACAAAAGCACTATACACATAAAAGAGGCAACAGGCAGGTCAGATTTGGTAATATCTATTCATTTGCAACCACCAATACCTCAAGAAATCTGTTCCGAAACTTCTGAATGGGCATCAGAGAAACACCGCATAGAGATGAAATATATGCATAGGTGTAGCCAGGGACAGACTCAAGATATCGACAAATATGAAACCTGAAGCACCAAGATTTGGATTAAACGCCATGCATATAGGTGATAGAACCAAGAGACTCCGACACTGGAAATCCGCACATTGCGTAATCACAAGAACGAGCCCGAAT